TTTGTGGATAATGGCTCTGACAGTGGTTCGCTGGAGCCCCAAAGCCTTGGAAATGGCTTTGTAACCTTTTCCAGACTGATAGATGTCCATCACTTTTTTTCTCATTTCTTCTTGAATTTCTTTGGATCGTGGCATGATGCTCTGATCTTGTAGCCTACTTCACTTTGTCTGACACATTCTATTTAAGTGATTTCTTGATTCAACACATGTGGTGGTAATCAGGTGTGGGTGTGGCCTGTGAAATTGAACTCAGCTTTCCTAAAATTGTGATTAGTCACAGTTATTTTGTGATTTAACAAAGGGGGGCAATTACTTTTTCACAGAGGGCCAGACAAGCTTGTAATTTTTTTAAATAACTGAATACAATTACGGAGTGCAGGGAAAAAAGACAAAAAAAAAACCAAAAGAACAGAGAGCCCCTCCCACCCGTGCCCCAATTTGGCTCAAGACCAACATGCATATTACTGGTTATTTATGCAATATAAAATATACGACATTGAAATACAAAGATTCAATTAGGTAGTACCTCCAAATTAGTAGAATAGGAAATAAAGGGTTGTCATTTATGGAAGAATTTGGCTGTACATCCTCTCAATGTATATTTAATTTTCTCAAGCTTTAAAAAAAACATCATGTCTTTAAGCCATCAGGCGATATTTAGCAGACTTCCAATTCAACAATAATAAACGTCTTGCAAGCAAGGATGTGAAAGCTATAATATCCTTTTGTGTACAGTTGAGTACAAGTGAGGGGTTAGGAATCCCAAATATAGCGATAAGAGGGCAAGGTTGGAGATTTACACCAAGGACAGTCCACATAATAATAAAATAACCCGCCCCAAAAAACTTGCAGATCAGGACAATGAAAAAACATGTGGCTGAGGTGACAAGGAGGGCCATGACGTTTATCACATTTGTCTTCCACGTCCGGATATAATACAGAGAGCCTAGACTTGGAGAAACGCACCCTGTGTAAAACCTTAAATTGAGTAAGTCCAAGACGTGCACAAGTGGTAGATTTTACCCTGTCTATGGCTTGTTCCCAGGACTCGTCATGTATTTGTATTCCCAGTTCCCCTTCCCATGTACACTTAAGTATGACATTTGAGTGGTTGTTAAAAGCCAAAATAATATCATACAATTTTGAAATTATTCTTTTGTGATGAGTAGTAAATGATAACAGTGTGTTTCCCATTGCTGTTCTGGAAGTGTTTGGGGCTGTGTTCATCAGCATGGATGCTGACATGAGTTTGTTTTTGTTTTTTTTTCTTCTTTTGTTAGTCAACTGGACATTTCTGGATGGGAACATTGACAAGTAAACATGATACAGTTGGTGACAGAAAAGGTGGAATAAAAACCCAAAAGTAGATCACAGCAGTTCTGTTTTAGGCAATACATTTAAAAAAAACAAAACTTTTTTTGGAGTAGAAGACTTAATTCTAACCACAATTTGTTTTTATACATTTTTTAAAAACTTCCATTCTTACAACAACGCTTTCATTACTTTTAACTGACAAGACACACTTGTCGTCACAGCCTGCTGTAAGGGACCAACTGGTAGCTTGATCCTGAGGACTAGGTTCAGTTTTATATTAAACAGCACAAGTGTAACTAAATCATAAAACATGTGTTTGTCCCAGCTCCTTCTGATGGGTAGACGTGGAGCAATGCAATCTCTGTCTACCAATAAAATACATGGGATTACTCAGTAATGGTGACAAACACAGTAGTTACAGTGATAGTGACGGAGCAGAAAAGCAGACATACCCCTCCTAAATAAAACGGAGAGATGACCACTCCAGAGTTGGGAACATCGTCTGCTTTCAGAGGTGTAGGGGTAACAATCAAAGCATTGCTGTGACCCGGGAATGGAGCTGAGGGAAAACAGTGAGGTGAAAACAACAGACTTCTACAGAACAGTTACTTTCTTCTCATTGCACTCAGTAACACTTACAGGTGAGGCCTGTTCCCTTCTGATATTAGTGGGAATCTTCTAAGGTTTGAAACTATGTGCTATGCTGTTTCTGAATTTGACACAGATGAGGATTTCTCTGAGAACAGGGTGTGAGGACGTGCCTATTTAGAGCCCTATCACAGATTACAATCCCCTTTTGTTTGCTAAAGATAAAAACAAGGCAGGCTTCAGGCTTTGTTAGTTAAATTGCAGTTACATTATTCTCAAGCCCAGAGTGAGCCTGTAAACAGTGTTTCATGTGGATTTGAAGTAAAAAAAAAAAACATACCTGTGAAAACAAGCTGAGAGGGAGGGAGGGGATAAGCAGGAGCGATTCTTTGCACCAGTCAGTTTTTGTTGGCACTGGATGGCTGAAGTGGATGAGGTAATGCAAAAGACTGCTGAACAGGAGCAGAGTGTAGTGGAGTCTGGAGCTGGTGCTGGGACGGTGGGGGCTGTGTGGACATGGAGTTGTACTCTGAGCCCTGGCAGATGGTGCTGGCCACGTCGCTGTGCATGACCACAGAGGAGGCTGTGTGTGTGATCACTGATGGTGCTACGGCTTCATCTAGAACAGAGGTGTTGTCCAAGGAGGACGGCACCATGGGTGCTGCAGCAATCATGTCCTGGTCAGGCAGACACTGCACCAGGTGATCATGGGACATTTGCTGAGGCGGGTCACCATGGACTACCTGTCCTGGAAACATTGGCATGTAGTTCTGGACATAGGCATCATGGTCAGCACCACCACTGCCCCCTTCACCACCACCACCAACTGTCTGGGTGGTTTGACCAACTATGGGAGGGAGCAAGGGCAAAGGTCCAGAGGGGGAGATGTGGTTGGTTGTAAGGTGCATGGAGGACATTAACTGGCCCCGGAAAAGGATACGAAAAATAAAATCAACAAACATCTAATGTATGTCTAACATAAGGAGTCCATTATCTATACAGTTGTGACAAATGCTGCATTATTATCCAGCCAATGACTTTAAGTCAGAAAGTTAAGATTTCCGCCACTCAAATTATGTATGATTAAAACAGTGATAAAAACGTTTTTCAAAGTGTGGGGGGGGGGGGGGGGGGGGGGTGGGTAGACCAACCGCCACATATTCGTATAAAGTGTGATCTATAGTTTAAGTTCAGTAAAATAGACTTGTTGTGATGTCAATTATTATTAGGGACTATAACCACAGAGAAAAGTAAAAGGAAGTGTGCATATTGCATTAATGGATTCCTAAGATCTAGTGGAAATCCATATAAAAACCACACAATCCTAGGACAAAGTCATAATGTTGGTGTGTGTTGGGGAATGTGCCGTGGGTCAGTGTTTACCTGGGACTGAGAACTGCTGCTGGATAGAGGGGTAACAGATGATGCACTGAGGGAAACAAAGGGGAAGACGGGCTGACGGAGGCTGTGAAATAAGTCTGGAACAAGAGTCTCTATGTTAGCTGGAGGTTAGTAAAATCACACTGCTTTCTGTGTTGGGATGAGCAACCTGTTGCAGCTGCAAAGTTACTAGAATATGTGTGGTTGATTTCTATAAAGTGTGCACTATTAGTGCGTGAGGTGTTGCTGCAGCTGAGGCCTGTGTCTTACTGCTACCTTGGAGGGGATCGAATGAGTCCATTAAGTCCAAGTTGGGCTGTAAAGAGATCAGTCCTGGTTGGATCATGTCTGCATTTCCTGCGTGAGCTTTGAAAGGTGAAGACGAAGAGGCAGAGAGAGCAGAAACATAAGGGAACCAAATATGTCTCCAGGACAAATATGACCATGACATTCTTCTAGGAATCTTCATCTGGGAATTTTGCTCACACAAAAGCTTCTTGAGTATCACTTTAGGTAGAAAAGATGTAGTTTAGATATAGGACTGTTTTAACTGTCTAAATATTCTTGGTCTTCTTTGTTCTAATTCATAACGTCAAAGGATAATCACAGAGTGCATTTCTCCTGCCTTCTGAACCTCAACGCTTAATTCTTTACACTTGATCTTCTTGTTTCCTACGTTCGGTCATGCACCAACAGCCACCACTAGTGATGGGAAGACCGCTCTTTTTATTGATTCGAATCTTTGACTCTCGAACAGTAAAATGAACGAGTCGTGAACGAATCTTGAACTAATCATTTC